TCTACTGGCTAACTATGGGTCATCTACTGGCCAGCTATGGGCCATCTACTGGCTAACTATGGGTCATCTACTGGCCAGCTATGGGCCATCTACTGGCTAACTATAGGTCATCTACTGGCTAACTATGGGTCATCTACTGGCTAACTATGAGTCATCTACTGGCTAGCTATGGGTCATCTACTGGCTAGCTATGGGTCATCTACTGGCTAGCTATGGGTCAACTACTGGCTAGCTATGGGTCATCTACTGGCCAGCTATGGGTCATCTACTGGCTAACTATGGGTCATCTACTGGCTAGCTATGGGTCATCTACTGGGATAGCTGGACAGTAGATGGCCCATAGCTAGCCAGTAGATGACCCATAGCTAGCCAGTAGATGACCCATAGCTAGCCAGTAGATGACCCATAGCTGGCATCTACTGGCTAGCTATGGGTCATCTACTGGCCAGCTATAAGTCATCTACTGGCTAGCTATGGGTCATCTACTGGCCAGCTATAAGTCATCTACTGGCGTGCTGCCGGTCTACTGTCTGATGTGGCTCACGCAACAATTCGTTTTTGCGATCGTAATTCTTCCCCAAGTTTTCGTTGTAATAATTACGTGTCGCCAACAATGTATCTCTCTAATACTCGCACGCACGCATGCATACGCTTATATACATAGATATAAGTATAGATAATATATCCTTAAAACAACATTAGTTGACTATTTAACTAGTGTTTATTTATTCATAATAACGTTCAGAAAACCCTATATACATATATATTTATTTATATCTATTTATTTATATATATATATGTGGTCATCCTTTGCCTGTTTGCAGGCACTAGATATTCCTCTACACAAAAACCTTATCGTCGACGATGGAGAGGAAGATGGGGAGGAGGTGGAAGAGGAGGTAGAAGAATATAATGTCTAGGCAGCTCAAGGACAGGTCGCCAAGGTTGTCAAAGGTCACCAATGCCATGGAGGTCATCAGGGTCACCAATGCCATGGAGGTCATCAGGGTCACTGATGCCTGAGAGGTCATCAAGGTCACTATTGTCATAGAGGTCATCAATGTCACCATTGTCATAGAGGTCATTGAGGTCACTGAGGTTGTAGAAAGGTTGAGGAATCTCAGAGAGTTCAAATTAATTCCGCCCAGTATTTATATGCATTTAGAGTAGACTAGGTCGTGTTGCACGCGTAGGAAATCACGCCTCAGTGCCTCTCGTCTCTTGCAAGTCGTATCGGTATGAACATATTTTCCTCATGTAGTATGTATAGCAGATCGTATCGTCGTGTGCATATTTTCGTTATTGTTCAGAAAGGTTGGAACAGGAAGAGGAACTTTAAATGTACAGAATGAGAAAAGAAGTGAAAGCTGCCGAGAGAATCGAACGATGGGATCCGGCAGGGATGGTCGGGTGCTCAGCGTTGGGGTCCGGTGGGGAGGATCGGTAGTTGAGCTTTGAGGTTCGGCAGGGATGGCCAGGAGTAGTTTGGCACGTGTAGGGGAGTATACTTGCCATGCCAAGAAGACGATGTGATGGAGAGGGTGTATGGTCCGTCCCACAGAGGTGCTTCTCACCTAATTTATAGATGTAATGTGTTGTGATGTCTGACTTGTAATACTAGGTTCACTGTGATATATGATGAGTGAAGTATGTATATATATATCTATCTATCTACGTATATATATATATATATATATGTGTGTGTGTGTGTGTATAATATTGAACAGTTACGTTTCGTGATAATTTCCTTGGAGGTAATAGCTATGATAGGTAGCACGGTGTACTTATGCCCGCGATGGTGGCGGGCATCGGGCCATAATTGTATCACACGTGCGTTACTGCTGTTCCTGTTACAACAGGCCTAGCTACTATCATGTCAGACTACGCATGGTCTACCTATTTGACAGCTGTGTTTTACCTCTCGCTGCCGCAGGCCTACTATCATGGCTACACTTGTATATATGGTGTAGTACATGTTTACCTATTTATACCTGTACTACGTATTTATATACAGTACATGTACACCTGTATGTATGACGTACAGCCGTGTTTTGTCGCTCGCCGCTGCAGGCCTACTCCTGCCTGGAACAGATGCGCAGCCGCATGCCCGGAGTCAACCTCACGTACTACGTCAACGTGAAGACCGTCGAGAGAATTCATCAGGTGAGTGCGCAGCCTCCGCCGTGGGTCAACGGTGCTGCCATCTACTGTCCAGCTATGGGTCATCTACTGGCTAACTATGGGTCAGCTACTGGCTAATTATGGGTCATCTACTGGCTAAC